TGTTCTTGCTTGTAATCTCTAAGCTTTTGTTTATCCTTATTTCAGTTTTAGACAACTGTAATTTTTATTGATCAAACTCGCACAATTGTGCTATTACAGTGCATATAATACATCAATAATTTCCGAAGAAGATATATTGAAACAAATTACTAGTAAGTGGACCATTTGTTCATTCATTGAGCATCATTAGATCGATTTTTCAATCAATATTAACTCGCAAAGGAATACTGTTAATGATGAAAGAAGCGATATTAGTTATCATGAAAAGGACTATTAAGCATCGTGTTAGGCAAAGTCATGCTGTCATCTATGTTCGACATCTATCACCAACTAATTCGTTTGACATATATGACCAACGACAACTGTCCCCTCCATCGACCTGTTTGTGTTCTTGTTATTACGATAGCTTAAAGTTTCTTTTATTGTTTCAGTTACGTTTTCGGGTTCGATTACAGATTTCTGCACACTTTAATGATGTTCAGAGACGTCCCAGTGTAATTCTTTGATACACCGGAACCAATTTTCTATCATGATTTACTAAGCATTGAATCCATTAATCTGATGAATAATCCATGCGTTTAGATTGCTGAAGGTCTTTTAAGAAACATATTGATTAACTCTGGAGATGGAAAAAACTGGATTTCTCTCTCCTAAATTAATATGAGTGGCCACAGCAGGAAAAACATGACACGTGTGTTCCTACTTAACACTATCAAAGATATATAACCTCATATATAAAAAAATATTGATGCGTGTATACAGAATCGTAATATATTGAACGCGCACAGGTCCTATGATAAGTTAATAAAATTTATTTTATCAAAAGGAACACTTCAAAGTTGTGGAATTTTTCACAGAAATACTTGTACAGGCATTCTCAGTATCATGGAGTGAAATCAGCAGTTACTTTTCAAACTTGTAGGGTTTATATTTATTTTAACTAACATTTATTTTAAGTTTAGGCTATCTTTCCTGTCAAGCCTTTACTTTCCCCTAGAATTGCCAATGCCAGAGTATGTAAATCGTAGTAGAACGCGCAGAGTATTCAAATTTTAGCAGAAGTAAATTGAGTTTAAATAGAAGGGAAACGAGATTGTAAGTGTGCTTCTTGAATCGCGAGCGTGAAAGTTGCTAGGTAGAAATTTAAGAACCGCGCGTTTCGGCCTGTGTGCCTATTTCGGCAGTTCGTTGAATCTTTCAACGTCTTAAACAGGAAGTTTGCTGAATCTCAGCTGCATCTTAGAACGCGGTTAAGTTAGTTACGATTATAGAGCCTCGTAGGTAGTGACCTCGTTATTTATTCATCCTGTCATTTATTTTTAGTTGTATTTTTCTATTTTGTTACACCGCCGGGCCGGCGTAGTTTGTGAGCGTCAAGTGAACGTAGCTGTGATTTCTAAAGTGGAATAAAAAGGGATTTAAACCCTTCTTACGAGTTTGTGTAATTTACAGTTCAAAGCAGTCACTACCACTGTTGCTGACAAATTGGGGCCTCGCAACATTATAAACTATTAAGAACTTTAAACATAACGCAATGAAAAGCGCATCTAAAGAGAAAAGCTAATCCGGAGACATCTCAGTTAACACTGAACTAACAGCTGGCAACAACAATAACAACAAAAACTAACTGAGAGCAGATGCTCTCTCTGGCCTTATATAGTTTTGAACTGGCCACTGAGATATTTCTAGTACTTTCTGCTTTTCAAAATTACTGGAAAGCAATATGAGGGTAGAATTACGGTTGCCGCTAATGTAGTAATCAATTACATTTATTCAATTACAATACCTAATACGTTGATACAAGAACCGGACAAAAATGTCACCAAATGGTGCTAAGTTTGGCGATTTCTCCCCAGATTACCGAGATACCCATTTATTGAATGTTAGATGTACTTGTTCCTGATTTCTTACTTTTTCGGCATAGCTTCTCTCCATAGATTTTTCGCGTTGCATTACGCAGGAAAAAATACAATTTCACATATAATTGCACTAAAATCATCTACCTCTGTACAAAATTCGTAACAATATAAATTATGAAGTTTTTAAATAATAGTTAAACGGTATTATTTATTAATGAATAAAGTGTGATTTGAATTGTAAAAGCTAAGAAAAAAGCAATTGTAGTAATATTAACAAAACACAGGGTTTCTAATAGCAGAACGTCCTCTCCTCTAAACAGTTATTTAACTCTATGCTAGTTTTTTAACTCTTATCACTTCCTCTTTATTTTACTCTTTTATTTTCTACTTATATATATATATAAATAAATCTTAAGCTTTATTTTTTATCTCGTTAACCCAAGCTTTACGAGAGTCGTGATAAAAAAGGTTTTGAAACCCTCAAAAGTAATAAAGTAATCTAAAAGTTTCCAGAGATGATTTGTTTGTTTCTCGAATGGCTCTTCGTTCTAAACTCGATACAGAGCATTTAAAATTTAGTGAATGATACTAACGTTAACGTTCAAGGTCTCGAAGCAGAAAAAGATTCAATTGGAGTTGTTAGGCGATCGTCACTCAGTTGCCAAAATGAAGTCGGACATGCGAAGCCTCTATAAAGCACGCAGAGATAAATGTGATGGTAGCACGCAATGTGGGACAACACGTTTCACGTCGGAAGAAACGAAATGTTCTGCAATTTGCTAAGCATAGGCACACAATACATGTCTGACTTGGATACATTCGCAACGGAAACCTTAGCGAAGAGGCTTTAATTATTACATTCATCAATGAGATTAATAATAGTTGAACACGATACATTACTCGAAGCCGTGGAGATTCGAATATTAAAATGTGTTTTGTTCTGTAATGGAAGAATGTAATATCGTAGTAACATTATAAGACTTTAGTGAAAGAATGTAATGTCATAGTAAAGTTATAAGACTTAAATGAAAGAATGTAATGCCACAGTAAAGTACTGTTCCGAAGGAATGTCAGCACTAGATTCTTTCTTCAAAAACTATTCTCGTATATTTTCATATACTGTATTATTTTTATAGGGCTATTTATAACACTTGAAAGAACGGATGATTTTGTTGAAAATGAAAGAAAATAGACCGTAACTTATTCTTAAGTGAATAACTATGCTTACACAATCAATTTAAATAGAGAACTTTGCTTCTATAATTTATACTCGCGAAATTAATTTGATTCTAAATTTCAGAGAAAACTAAATAACTTCAGGTTACCGCTTACTCTCAATTTCTACATACGCGTGTCATCGCTACAATTCTTTATATAAAAATGAAATAAGATACTAAATTAAATGAAATAAAGTGGGGAATTCGCCCTTTAATATTCTAAAAAACATATTATATGTTACTAATAAATTGTTTTATGATAAATCCTCAAAGATTTATTTCTAAAAATTAAATAAATAAAAAGATGCCTATATAACACATTTTTCAAGGTGAATATTTATTATACATACCACACTTGGATACCGTCTTCTAAAATCAGACCTTCAGATATGCGCTATTTATAGTATTGTTATGAAATGACCAAGATAAGATAGCTTCCTCTCAAAGCAGTGTTAGGGGTGCCAAAAAGTGGCAAGGAAAAGCAGGGTCGCAGATATAGCGCAAATTCGCCCATTTCATGACATTTTGCGATAAATTGGCGATAGGCCATAGACAGAGCGAGAACATTCTAGAACAAATTCTTACCGTTTCTCCCTAGAATGTTCTCGAAGGCAGGTCAAAAGCTATATATACCCTGCCTGTACGAGGAGTAGGGGAGTTGAGAGTATCTTGAGTTTAGACATTAGTTCGAGAGCGATCGACCTAGTGGGGAGCTGTACTTTAGTGCCGTGAAGCTGTCTTAACCGTTATAGCCTGATGGCCTGAAGGCTCTGTTGCTGATTATTTCAGCGTGTTTATAGCAATTTTTTGGCAGCTGTAACACGTCTTTCGAACTATCTTGTGAAGTACTGACGAATAAATTGTGTTTTGATTCTTCATTAAGTGCTGTCATCAATCACTTCAAATTCGCGAACCCTTAGAACGCAAGAGTATATATACATCAAATATTGAAGTAAATATATTAATTAATCGTAATAAATTGCCTAATACTTGCGCAAAAGCTGCAAAGTAATAAAATAACAATTTATTTACTAATGGGAGTATTGAGATATTATCTCCTTTGAGAAAGGTAGTAGAATTTTATTTGAATGAAGTAACTCATAAGTATTTAAAAATGAATATTAAAAATTTTGTAAAAATGAACCATCAAATATGAATCATGAAAAATGGAAAATGGAAACTTTAAAAAAATGAAAGAGTAACCTTTAACCAAGTATTTATTGTCATTGATCGGAAATTGGTTGACTTTTCAAGGGGAACAAAGCAACCCCCCCGATCAGTTAGCAATAATTAATAAATGGGAAGGTGCTTCGACTTTTACTAAAATACGAATTATAATGCCAAACTTGTATTAGGTAAGTTCATCCAAGTAGGTAGAGTTTAAGTGAGATGAAGTTACGTTAATGTACTATATAGAATTTATTATGAAAATGGCAGTTCCGTTAAGTTTAATTTTTTAATATTGTGAGATATTATTGTTAGAGTGAGTATTATTATTATTATTTTCCTTATTTGAGTAAAGTGCGTCCCCGACACCCTTGCTTTCAATCATGTTAATGCAAAGTAATCTTTATAAACATAATAAACAGAATGCAATCTTTGCACAAAAAATTTATTACTTATAAAAGTTGAAAAAATATTTACAGAAGACAAGAAGGTACAATTAAATGTACAAAAGAAAATGTACTTAATGTACATAAATGTCCAGAAAATAAATTAATTAACTTACGCCCTTGTGAATGCTAAAAGTGAGACATGCCCGTTACTGTCTTCGAACCCAGAATGGAATTTGGAATTCGAACCAGGATGTACAGAGGAGAGACGAATGAGTTAGTGGCAGTCGGGGACTTTGAGAATCTATTTTCAGAATGCGGGAAAGAAGTGGTTGTGGCAGATGCAACTTGCACTCGAAAGAAAGTTCCACAACCACTTCCTTCGCGCATTCTAAAAGTTCCCGACTGCCACTAACTCATTCGTCTTTCCTCTCCCCATCCTGGTTTGAATTCCAAATTCCATTCTGGGTGCGAAGACAGTAACGGACATGTCTCGCTTTTAACACTCACAAGCATGTAAGTTAATTAATTTATTTTCTGGACATTTATGTATATTATGTACATTTTCTTTTGTACATTTAATTGTACCTTCTTGTCTTCTGTAAATATTTTTCAACTTTCATATTTAATCATTTTTTGCAAAGATTGCATTCTGTTAATTATATTTATAAAGATTACTTTGCATTGGCACGATTGAAAGCGAGGGTGTCGGGGGACAATTTACTCAAATAAGTAAAATAGTAATACTACTACTCACTCTAACAATAATATCTCACGATATTAAAAAAAATTTAACTTAACGGAACTGCCATTTTCATAATAAATTCTATATAGTACATTAACGTAAATTCATCTCACTTAAAATCTACCTACTTGGCTTAACTTACCTAATACATGTTTGGCACCATAATTCTTATTTGAGAAAAAGGCGAAACACCTTCGCATTTAACAATTATTATTAATTGATTGGAGGTTGATTTGTTCCCCTTGAAAAGTCAATAATAGCATTATTTTAAAGACCCGGACTCTTCGCGTTTCGAGTGATATTTGAGGCGATATTTGAATAGATAGATGGATATATAGACAGATTTTTACTAACGTAGGCTATCACAGGATGTCACGTAATTCGGTAGATAAAATAGCCATGTCTACAATAAAGAAGACATTTTGTGCTTTATAATTCAAAAAAATGGTTACGCTAGTTCAAGACAAGCTTTGATAGCTTCAGAAAAGCATTTCTGAATGGGAAATCTAACTAATGGCCTCCACAAGAAATTTTAAAATATAGTGCAAAAAGAAAAGTGAACCCAAAAAGTTGACTTGGCACCCAAAAAATAATTTGAGTGGGCCCTTTAGCAATGCCGAAGGAAATTCATGATAAGGCGAGTCTGAAATTCATTGCGTGCAATTGGTATAAAATTTGATAAAACTGCTAAAATTCAGGCCATATAAATTTTAATTATTAAATGAGTTTGGTCTTCCCCCCCCCAAAAAAAAAGAAAGAGAAATAAAATGAAAAAGATATAGATGTGGCCATTTTCTCAAAAGGTTATGTGATACACAATTATCATCTACGTCAGCTTGCATGGACATGGACATGCTTGCACATGGAGTGTTAGGGCAAAAAATTCATATATACAAGCATATAACTTGTAAGATCTGTCTCTGTGATTCCACATAAACTAAATTAGATCCTACAATGAACCTGGCGAATTTTTGCACAGGCGGGAATAAATTACCAACACAGAAGAAGGGTGAAAATTACCCTTTATTTATGTCAAATAATTAACAGAAAGGCTTTACAATGCACGTGCTTTACAATGGCACCGTCAACTTGTGGTGAAACTGAAACGTAGAATACAATTCAAGTCAAATCTAAAATAAAATAGTGCTGGATTAGTTGATTGACTCACAAAAACCTAACAGGCGTGACGATAATCCGAATGGCCAACATGCTTACTAGTGTAACAGCGAGATAGCAACGAAACGTGCGCTTGGCTAGCTGAAACACGTTCTGAATAAACTCAGAGATTTACCCGTTTAAATACTCACTTCACTTAACTGTAAATTTACATCTTGGTGAAAAAATACGAGGGGAAGTTGAAAAGTTCAGGAAAAGTATCAAACTTAAAATAAATTTGTTATGCAAAATAAGAGAAACACTACTTCTTCCCTCGCCAGAATTTAACTATCACATAGCAAGGCTTTAAAAGCCTGGATAAGATATTTCAATTCTAAATCAAAATGTGAGTCCACCTTTACAGTCTTAAACTAGACCTAGACTAAATTTAAGGTTTTACAGATGCTAAATATGGCACATAATTACAATATCTTCTTTAGAAATTCTTGTCTTGTCTCCTTCCAGGTATGTGGAAAGAAAATAGTTCAGTACTGTGCTTCATAGATTACAATGCCACACTTTCAATATTTTTAAAAAATTCAAACTTTCCTACATGGGGGTTCATTTAGTCGTTTCAATCTTTCTACCCACATTAAGACTCCCCCTTGCTCTCCAGTTTTGTGTACTGCAAATGCAAGCGTACTTTGTGCTAAATGAGTACAACTCTTATCGACTGCCCCACATCTTTTTGTTAGAATTAGACCAACTAGACCTAGACGGACATCCTACAATCAAATCTCAGCCTGAGGTGCAAACTCTAAAAAAAATTAACTTAGCGTTGAATACAGAGCCTAACATTTTACTTTACATTCATTCTAAATTAATTTTTACTTCCTTTTAGTACAATCCACAAGTAACTTAAACTACTCTTTTATTCGAAGCACATATTTCAAGCATGCAGAATACTTTAGGTATTTAAGAATTCAAACATTTTTACATAAATAATTTCTTACTTTACTCAGCTGAAAATAACCTCAAATTAATTACATGCAACAAAAATTCTAAAAATTTTTTCAGTAACGAAGTTCGTTTTCTTGATACCATACAAACATTTTCCTGCAACGGTCTCTACAAATAAAGTTAATGTTTCGTCTAAATCCGCCATGATTATTTGCTTAAGTTTCTTGCTTCGTCTAAACATTTGAAGCTACTTGCTAAATACGAGAAAAGTTTTAAATTACTTGCTAAATATAAAATTGTAAGCTTCTTGCTAAATACAAAATTGTAAGCTCCTTGCTAAATACAAAAGAATAGAAAAGCTTCTTGCTTAATTATATAAGCATTGTCCTCTTCTCGAGGCAAAGCTGAAGTAAATATTTTCAACCATCTTCGTTCTAGCTTTAAAATAATTTTAAATAGAATAATTATAACTCATTGGCAAATACCATCATCCTTTTCCTTACGAAGTATTCCCAAAACAGAACTTGGTTCAACTGTCTGACTCAAATCCACTGCCGGGACTGGCCCTTCCCATTGCTCCCTGTCTCCGGCTGTTTACATTTCAGTCCTCTGTCCCAAACTACCTTCTTGTGACGTTGCTCCATTTCTGCGTGATTTGGACGCTTGCCGACTGTACCCGAAGAACCTCCTTGGACTGGCCGAAGACGTTTTGGCTGGTCATTCGTGGGGTCTCCTCTGTTCCTCAAGAATTTCTTTCTCCTCAACGGCTTTTCTTCCAATCGGCTTTTCGTTTGTGGAATTTGAGTTGCTAACCTATTCTTGCCTTCCTTTCTTAGTAGCTAGATTCGTGACCTCTAATGTTAGTTGCCTTTTCCTGCCCACTTGCCTACTGATAGGTCTTCTGCAGGGTTTAGTTTCCCCTTCTTTTTTCAGAAACTTAATCCTCTCTTGCGCTGTTTCCATTTTTCGTTTGTTCATACGTTTGGTCTCATTAAGTCGGTCGACGTTTCTTTCCTTCTGGTTCCAAGACTCTAGATTCCTTCCTTTTCGTTCCTGGTAGAACCATTTGTGATGTTGAGGACCCTTCACCTATGTTTGAAGCTTTCTGTAAAATATCTTTAAAATTAGGCATCTCGTTACGATTATAGCATTTCTTAACTGCCATATCGGCAGTGATATTGCCTACTTTACTTCCTTTTAAATATAAAACTGACCCATAAATACGCTCAATCACGTAAGGCCAATCTGGTTACAATTCTGGAGTGAAATTTGAATTCTTTATCTACTGGGGGGCAAGACAACGCATGTTTCCTTTCCAAGGTCTCCTATTTTAAAGTAAAAGTATCTTCTTTTCTTGTTATAATCGAGTTGTTGTTTTCCTCTGGCTGCATCCGAACTTTTAATTGCATCATTAATTAACTTCTGAATATCATTTAGTTTAAATTCCGCCTCCCTTTTCTGGACAAAGAACAGTTTGTCTAATTGGGTAATTAATTTCCTCCCCAAAACTAATTTGCAAGGAGTCTTTCCCGTGGTACCGTTCTTGGCTGTTCTGAGAGCATACGCCAATTCATTTACACAGTCATCCTAGCGTCGGTAATATGTTTTTACGTAGATCCATATGATCTTAACAATGTTCCTATTTACGTGCTCGGCAATATTTGACTACTGTCTGTAAGGGACCATCTTAAGGTGGCGAATGCCAAACCCTGCACATAGCTCCTCGAAAATTTGGCTAACGAATTGGAGCCATTATCTGATATTACCCTAAGCGGTACACCATATTTTAGAATGTATTCATTTAGAAACGAATCGGCTACAATTTTCACCGAGGCTCTTTTAAGGGAGACTATTTCTACTCACTTTAAGAAGTGATCGATTATAACGAATAAATATCTATTTCTACTACCTTCACTTTTTGGAAACGGACCTAATAAATCTATCCCAATTATTTCATTTGGATAAGTAGCTCTTATACTATTTAGATACCCGGCCGGGATGTAAATTACATCGTTAACTAACTGGCATGTAAGGAGGACGTGACATAATCCGTTACTTCTCTTTGAAGCTGCTGGAAAGGAAACGCCTCGAGCACACTTTGCATCGTTTTCCGAATGCCTAAATTATCGACAGTAGGTGCATCATGTAATTCCCCTAAAACACTGATTTGCAACCCCGCTGGAATGACTGGCCTTATTTCGATATTCTCATTTGTTGTTTTAGTATAAAATAATAGTTTGTCAGCTATTTCATAGTGAATTTTCAGAGGGCAAGTCTTAATATAATGTTCATAGTTGGTTGGAAAGTCGCCGGGGCTCCACTTAAGCCGAAAAGCATAAGTGCCTGATTTCGTTATGAATGCCTTTTTTGGCACATCCTCAGGTTTCATCGCTATCTGAAAATACCATGAGGGGAGATCTATCGTGGTCATGTACACTGCGGAAAAAAAAATTGGACAACTCCCGTTCTACTTGGCCGATTGACAAAATTCAAACTGCGTTTTTAATGTCTCGAAAGCGCGACCTAGGATATATATTATATATTATATATATAGCATTGTTCTAACATAGGTATTTTGACACAAAAACGGATTTTTTCTGAAATAACATACCAATTTTATTCCAAATTTCGATTCTACGACTCAAATTGTGCCCAGATATTAAATTTTGTAAAATTTGGTGCGAAATTTAAGGAGAAATTGGGAAATTTATCTTGG